GCCTAGCACAGAGCCTGGCGTAGTAAGATAGAGTAGCTCTTTTTAGAGTGAGAAGAAGGAAGGGAGGGAGGAAGGATGAAAGAGAGTGATGTTGAAGGGGAGGAAGATGTTTACTTTTGTAGCCTAGTACCCTAGAGAGAAATAGTCATTTGGGCCCAAAACTATGACCCAGCTTTGGCCTCTCTCATAAAACAATTTCACCTTCAATTTTACAGTGAATACAAATAAAAATGTTTATAAAATCATCAAATCTCAAACCAGAAGAAACATTAGAACTCATCAAAATTAGTTTCTTATTGGTTATTTTTCTTTTTTTAATGTGACCTTAAATGCAGGCCTACTTTTACTGTATTATGCTTCTTTATCTTCATTTCCTTTGTTACCAAGCTCTGTTTATTACCTGAACTTCTTGCTTTCTGTTATTTCATTTTGATTATGTATCATCCATTCTGATCTCTGCCAGTTCTTTTCAAATATTACTTTGATCCCTCTTCTCTCATTCGTGATGATTTTATCAACCTGTATTAAGGAAACAAAATTGTCCATGAAAGACACTCACTTCTAATGCCATGTACTCTGGAATATTATTTCCTAAACAAACACTTATATTGTATTTACGTGTGTGTGTTTTACATAGAAAGTCTGATAAGTGAAACTTTGTATAAGTGTGGGGGAAGGGGCAGACAGCAAAACAAAATTACAATTATGAAAGTAATCTAAGTTAGAAGGGCATTGGTATTGTCTTCAAGAAATGTCTTTAGGAAGTTTAATTTTAATTCGAGCAGCACAGCTTTTTGCAAACCATTCATATCTAAAGACTACCATGCAATGAAATACCAATCAGTTGCAAAATATCTTTCAGCTCCCTAGCATGTCTAATTTAAAATGTACCAGTACCTTTCATTATGTGTTAAAGTCTTTGAATAACAATTCCTTCTTCCATAAGTTAAACTGTAATATACAAAGAGCCCTCCAGGTTGATCGTGGCTTTAGGAGAGGCCCACATGGCCCAGTGAGGGAGGAGGAAGACACCGGCTACAGAGCAGATAGATTCCATCCCACAGCCGTATCTTCCTGTTGAGAGCAGAGTGTTCCAAGCACTAATGGACAGATCAGACTAAATTTGCATTTATGAAATGAATGATAAATGAAATTAATTAATACATTTTCATTGATGTCCCTTATCATCTTAAATAAATCATAATTTTAAAGAAAATGGTAAAACAGATTATTTTTTGGTTTGCCAAATCACTGTTACAACACTGTTACTACATGATTAAAAGTAATTCTTTTTTCATATTCAGTTTTTATTTATTATCTTTCAGAAATCATATTTAATGAAAATAGCTGGGTAAGCAAACAAATAGCATGTACAAACACTTGTTTTGAAAAACTGAACCATACGCCTCTCTTTTTGTCAGTCTGTCTAATGGTTTACATTTTTAAGTGCTGGCCACACACTCTTGTCCCCAAAGCCAAGGGACATTCCTAAGGAAATAAATATCTTAGAGCAGGGGTAAGACAGGATAAATAGAACTGGAAACAAATGAAACCTCACATAAATATGATGTCTAATCATTTCAGGATGGCACAAGCATGGGATTTGAAAAATGAATCCTAATCCATTTCTTGTCCACCTTTTCAGGCTCAAAATTTAGCTGTCCCCAGGGACTCCTGTTCTCCAGCCACACAGCACAGCGTCCTGCTGAGCTCTTTCCTCAAGCTTCTGTGTACTCACAGGTGCCCCCGTATCCTGGGGTGCCTTTGCGTCTCAGATGCCACTTCCTCTGGGAATCCTTCCCTGATCCTTCCCCTCAGGCAGGTTAGGAGCCTGCTCCTCTGGGTTCCCATGGCGCCTTCCATGTACATCTCTGTTTTGCCACTTGCCCTGAATTGCCAGGTCATTATTAGTTAATGTCTGTCTCCCTAAATAGATTGCATCCATTGAGTCATTCATTCAACACACAGCAGTGCCAGGAGAACAGAGGCCAGTCTGGGTCCTTCCTGTCCTGAGGTAGCTCACAGGGAGTAGGGGAAACAGATTAGCACCTCAACAACTACAATCTTGTGTGAAAGTGACATAACAGAGATACACACAGGACATTATGACACTGTTCAGGGGCAGCTGTTGCCTGGCTTGGAGGTTGGGAGGTGTCAGGCAAGTTTCGTGGATGGAGAGAAACGTGACCTGAGGCTCAAAGGATGAGTGATGGTCATTCAGTTAGGCAAGGTGAGGAATGATGGTGCAGGCAGAGGAAATAGGGTGCAAAGGAACTGTGAGAAGAGAAACAGGGAACTACAAATAGGTCTGTACGCCAGAGAGCAGACTAGGTAAAACAGAAGCAAGGAAAGAGCTGGGGGCAGGGTAGAGAGGTCCTGACATGCCGAACTGAGGAATATACCCTTGAATATATGTCGTGGATACTTGAAAGGCTGTACATGGAGGAGCAGCAAAGTCTCGTGAGCATTTTGGAAAGCTTATTCTAGGAATGAGATGGGGGCAGAGTGGAAGGAAGTGAACCTAGAGGCAGAGTTCCTCTCCTTAAGAGGAAATAGAAGATAAAGTTTCCAGTCGAAGAAGTGGCAGTGGAAGGGCAAGGAGGAAACTGATTCTGGAGATGTTTATTTCAGATGGAGAATGGATAGAACAGGTTTGTGGAGGAGAAGGAGGAGTTTAGCTCTGAGAATGCCGGCTGCCAAGTGTCAAGGAAACATCGAAAAGAGAAGCTCGGTAGGCAGCCGCGCATTGGGATCTGGAGACCTGGAGAGAAGTCTGGGCTAGAGGTAGAGATCTGGGAGTCATCTGTGCAAAATTCAAAGCCGAAGGTGAGGGTTCCTAGGAAAAAAAATATGTGTCAAGTGTAAAAAGTGCTCGACCCCTGGGGAACATTTGATAAGAACAAATGGAAAAAAGAGATCCTGAGATGAGGGTAACAAGGAGGCAGAGAGGCTGGAGGAACACCGGTCAGTGTCCTAGAAACCAGGGAAACAGAACCCAGAAGAGGAGCACGTGGTCAAGGGTGTCCAAAGCTGCAGTGAGGGTTAGATTAAGTCATGAGAGGTCCCCAGTACATCTGACAACTAGGTGCTCAAAGTGCTCTTGGCCAAAGCAGCTCCATGCTGTAGTTGGGGCGTAAGTCACACTGCAGATAGTAAAAGAATGAATGAGGAAGGGGAACTATAAGAACAGGAGATTAGGAGGTGATGTTGGATGCTACTCTCTCTAGAAGCTTAACTGTGAAGGGAAGATGAATGGAGGAATGTTGTTTTGAGGAGTTCCTTGAGGGCCTGGAGCGCCTAGCACAGTACCTGGCCCACAAAAAGGCACTCAAATATGTATTTCTTGAATAAAAGTGAAATGCTTTAATTGCCGAATAAGTGCATAAGAGCCAGGAAAGACATCACGTGTTCTGAAGTATTTAATTTCTTATTTATTTTCAGAAGAGATGGCATAGAGAATAAACCGGAAAGGAGAGAGGCAGGAGGCCTGGAAGGGTGGTGGGAGCACTCATGTCGTTAGCAATGGGGAGAGGGAAATGGGGTGAGACTCATGTGTAAGGAACAGGAATGAGTGCCCCAGAGAGACGGCAGCTTGCAAAAGGAGCTAACTGCTGAGGAAGTGGACGTCAGGAGCGCAGACAGCAGTGAGCGACACAACACACTGGAGAGCAAATGATGCTAGGAGATACCTTGTAATCTAATGTGAGTTCTTCACGGAAAGTGGCAAATCCATATAAATGTCCTTTCAATCCTATCGGTGACCTATCTTGCTAAAACAATGCCAATCAATGCTGTGAAGCAGAGACTTTTTTTTCTTTCTTCTGTTCTAAACGACACAACAAGAAAGTGAAGTAACATTTGGAGTAGTGTAAATTTAAACAGGTGGGAAAGTGGGAGATATTGCATAAACATGGCTGACTTGGTGGTAATGGACCTATATTTGGACAATTTTCACAGCAAAACTGAAATAACCATACTCTCCCCAGAGTCGCTGTGACAATTACAGGTGAAAGCCCTTTTAAACTGTCAAGAGTGAGCTGTTGTTATTATTACCACCTAGTTGCTGCAAAGGCCTTCTGGGTACTAATGCAGTCTCCAGCTCGCACTATTTTTGTCCCTTCTTTCTCTTACCCCCTCTACTTGGGTTGTTTTTCTTATTAAAAGATATAATATCTGCAAAGCGTTTGACATAGCACCTGGAATATGGGCGTGTCGATAAATGTTAACTGCTAACCCGGCGCCCGCTGCAACCACCCCCCTATCTCCTCTTCCTGCTGCCCGTCTGTGGCCGGCAAGTGAACCCAGGGACCTCCGTCCCTTGCCCTGAGCTTTCAGGAATGGTGACTCCTGAGCTTGATTTACAGACTTTTGATCCTGGGCAAGTCATAACTTGGGGGCCTAATCATGAAACTGATAAAGCTTAGGCTGTGAAATCACCAGCTGAACCAGCAAAATCACCGCTGCCCGTTTTGCAAACCCCTACAAGGCACAGTGTCAACTAAGAGACTTCTGATCAGTGCAGCTGGGAGACCCGTCCTTTCCTTATAAAACATTGACTCCTCCCGCCCTTGCGACCAGTTTCTCGGCGCTCTTTCCTTATAAAACATTAAATCTGTGTTATTTATTCATTTCTTGGAAGACTAGTCTTTTAAAGATGACCTTTGTCTCTACCCAGCAGACAGAAACCCAGGAATAGGGCAAGAGGGAGAGGGAGAGGACTTTGAAGGCCAGGAGTGAGAGGGGCAGGTCATTGGACTTGAGGGGCTCCGGGATCTGCCACTAGTCCACCAGCAAGGCCAGTGCCCCTTGGCCCTGCAGTTTCATATCTGTAAATGGGTATGATCATTTGTGTTCCACCACAGGGCGGCTCACGTGTGTGTGTACCTTGCGTTCCTCCCAGCCCTCCCCCCACCCTATGGAAATGGCATTGTGAACCCTGACATTGTATCCTAGCTCCTGAAGCTCAAACTACACTCATCTGAGGTCTGCTGGCTGAGTGACAGCCAGAGGGGACCCTACTGCTGCCATCCTGCGAAGGGCAGCGCCTGGGCCCTGGGGGAGGAGCAGCCGGGCAGGTTCGCGGGCGCGGAGGGCGGACCGGCTCCGAGCCCAGAGGCTTTCGCCCGCGGGAGCGAGAACAGGCTGTAGGCGGCTCCTTCCTGTGCAAACTTTTCTGTCCTCTTCCTCCTCCCGCCCTTGCGACCAGTTTCTCGGCGCCCGGCGTCCAGCCTCCCTGCCCTCTGCGCTGCTTCGGGGTCGCGGCGCGCGGGGCAGCGCAGCCCTCGGCGCCGGGCCTTTCCCGTGCCCGGAGCCGGCGCCGCCAGAGCCGATGGCTGAGGCGGGCAGGAGCCCCACGGAGCCCCCGGGGGAGCCACTGGGGCAGGTGGCGGCCGAAGCCCCTGAGACCGAGGCGTCTGTCCCGCCGCCAGCTCTGCGCAGGCTGCCCGGGGATCCGAGCCCCCGCGGCCGCTCCCAGAGCGACCTGTCGTCCTGTTCGAGCAGGGGCCGCCCCCTCCGGGTCCACATCTCCGGCTCAGGTAAGGGCGGTTCCGGGTGCTGGGGGGCCGGCCGGGGGCCGGGGAAGGGCGGGCGCAGGCAGGTGGCAGCGACGCGCCCAGCCCGCGGCGTCCTCGGGCACTGGTCCCGCAGGCTGGCGGAGGGAGGAGAGGAGTTGGGGCAGGTAGGGGAAAGGCGAAG